CATGACCTGAGCCAAAACCAAGAGTCGGATGCTTAACTGACTGAACTACTCAGGCACCCTGAGAGAATGTTTATTGCCCTTTTGAGTGATTGGAGCAAGAAAAGTGCCAGGAGTATCAGACAAACTGTGTTAACATCCTGATACCCAGACCCATTCTGGTGCCCTAGAGAGTCTAGTAATGGTGCAAGCTATAATCATTGCTACCATTTACTTGCTCTGCACTAGGTGTTTAAATGCCTTATCTAATGCTCACAATATTTCCATGTGACAGCTGGAACTTTTTATCCCTATTCTATAGATGAAGAATCTGAAACTGAAAGGTATTCCTAGATGTTCTCTTAGAGCTAAAATACCATGAGAAACATATTCTGGTTTTTTTTTTTTTCCTGTTAGATTCTCTAACTAGCATTCCAAAAAGCACTGTTCTTTCGAATAGTATAACGGGTGAGTAAAAGTACTGGAAAGAAAAGGAGGGGGGTGATCACAGGGGCAAGTAAATTTGAGAAATTCAGGGTTCATAAAGGTATACAGGTTTCTTTATTGGAGGACTTCACAGAGCATTCAGTGTGCTAACATACTTTGTAGATATCTGAGGCCGTCGTTCTTCTCCCTGACCGTATCTTAGAGTCATGCCCAGGTCCCATGCCATATCAATTAAATCAGGATTTCTGGGGTACAATCCAAGCACAGATATTTTTTAAAAGCTTCGCAGGTGATTCAAAATGCTGCCAGAGTTGAGAATCCAGCTCAGTATTAATTACTGCCCTCTCTTTATTTCAGAGAGCATCTGATTAATATCTTGTTCAGTAAGACAAAGATTTGGAAATGCTGAGATATAAACTACCAAAGCACCCCTAAAATACCAAAATTTTAGGTCCATTTCAGATCTGCTAGACTATCTAGGTCCAAAAAGTAGAAACAAAAATTCCTTTATCAGATTGAAAAATTTTTCCTTCAAAATTGCACTGCTGAATCTGACAGGAACAATCTTAGTCTAGAGGTCACATTTCTGTGTTTTCCCTCAGTGTATACTGGCTACTCTACACAAGAATCTTTACCAAATGAAGTAAGGCAACAATAACAACAAGAAGTCCTTTGCAAAGGTATAATTTTTGAGAATTATTTTAAAGGTATCACTTTAAATGAATGATCCCAGAAAATCTGTAAGAAATTTTCCAAAATGAAGTTAATTAAAAAAATTGAGATATAATTAATTCAAATACCATAAAATCCACCCTTTTAAAGTATATAACTCAGGAATTGAAGTTAATTTGGGAAACCCTGAACCTGTTTCGCCATCCACCGAATGACCATAATATCACCAATCACTAGCCTTGCAGTTTGTTCTGAGATTAAGTAACAAAAGGCCGCAAAGCACCCTGCACATCATAGGCACAAAGGAAATGTCAGACTCTCTTTCCCTACAAAGAAAACACAAAATTCTCATTATAATGTAACTTTTCTGAGGGCAATGGTAGAAGCTCTTTTATGCAGTTGGTGATGGGCCTGGAATAAGCATTTTGAAAACACTGCCTGTCTCATTCCCTTCACAAGCCAAGGAAGGTTTGGAAGCCCAGCACTAAGAATGTTACCTGCAATATAGCGAATCTCAGGTAAGCACATCATGAGGTCAGGAAAGCGGTTCGGCTGATGTGTGTATTTATATTCAGTGAAATCCTGGCAAATGTACCAATATCGCTTGTTCAGTTGTTCCAGCTGTGAGGCACTGGTCAGACCCCTGATATCTGTTAAAAAAAAAAAAAAAACACACACACACACAGGAAATGGAGGGGTTTTCTATTGGGGAAAGAACACCAGCTCCTTCAATATGTGCATCTTTCAATTAAAAGTTATTAAACATTGTCACAATAGGAGACCTTTTCTCTTTCTGACATGGAGGAACAAAACTCTGGACAAGGGGAGAGAAATCAGATAAAGGCAAAAAATTATAAAGGACAATCACTAGACTGAAACACTTGAGTGCTAGGCTCTATCTTCCTCAACTCCTACATAGCTCCCAGCACAGTGCTTGACACAAAACAGGCACCAGTGGATGTTCAACAAATGGCTGAATAATCTACCTTTCACAATGTATCTTTCAGAGTATCTTTAAACTGGCCCTTTGCTGGAGGCCGATCAGAAAGCTTGCGGAGCCTACATGTTTATGCTAGGCATATACTCACATATGGTCTCCTATGTGCTTCTGCTCACACTATTCTACCTGGGCTGTCACTCCAGCTTTTTCTATATAGATTTCTCTCTTTATATAAAAATGTATATGTGTATATATAATATATATGGACATGTATGTATGTACACACACACACAATCCCTTTTATCTATAGAATATACAGTTTACACACACACACACACACACACACACACACACACACACACAATTTGTATATACATAAATAAGAGAACATAAATATTCTCTCTCTATATATCTTACCCAGCCTTTGAGGCCCTACTCAGATTTCTCCTCCAAGAAGTTGCTGCTGATCTCCCTCCCATCTGAGGCTCAAGTAATGTGTTAAGTGCCATTTTAAAGTGTGTATTTCTTGAGGCCAGAGACCTGGGGTCTATTTTTATTTAATATCTTTAATGCTCAATACAGTGCCTGGTCTAGGGAAGGCACACAGAACAGCAGATAAATGAGTGGAGAAGACAAATGAATGAATAGTGGAGAAGCAGCAGGAGGAGTAGGCAAAGAGGAGGGTATTGGAAGTCTCGACTAGGAAACTGAACACAGGAAGAGAGCACTTTCAATGTTACAAGGCAGCAAAAGCGCCCCGTTGCACTGTGAGAGTACAGCACTCATACGCTACTTTGGAAAAAAGAGAATACAAATTCTCCTCTACACTCCGGTCACTAGCAGCTACCAAGCGCCACTTTGCAGGTAATCCCCCACATAAACCACATTCGGCCCTCCTCTAAACAAAAGCCATGCTTGATACGCATTGTGTGAGTTCTTGTGCACCACCATTCTGCCCTGAAGGGGCTGTCAGAAGCACTGCCAGACTGTCACAGAGGTCTTATCTCCAAAAGTTTCATCAGTCACCCTGCTCTTCTTCAGTTGCTGGTAAACTTGGTACAAATTTTAAATGACGCATGTACTGTCCTTGGTGTCTGTGTTTAAATGCATTAAAACTGACTAAACAAAGCGAATCCTTTTCCTTCCTCTATGAGTTATAGAGACTGTGGCATTTAGGTTTGAAGAAAAAATCCAAAGCATGCTCTGCACTATAGAGGGGCAGGATGAGGGGAGCACAGGCCTTTATCTAAGATTGGTACCCACATGGTGTGGCAGATTCTGTGTGACAGTCCTGAGGGTAAAGGGGTGGGAGGTGGTGTGTGAAACGAGGGCAAATGCTCTCTGGCCAACAACAACAACAAAGTCCCCTTTCCTCATCCCCAGCTACTTACCTTGATTTAAGAAGTTAATTGCTTTCATGCAAGCGTACTCTTCATTGCTGACCTTTAGCTGATGGAACTTGTGATATAGGTAGATGAGCCTCTCGATCACCTCCATCCCTTCATCACTAAATCTGGGAAACAGACAGTGGAGGTCAAGGAAGGGAAGCCAGAGGTCTCCTATAGCTCCTTAAGGAATCTAGGATTGAAAAGAGCCCGAACTTGGGGGAAATGGAATCCAGAACCATTTGTGAAGGACAGGTAGCTCCATGGTTTGTCTAGCAGCCAAGAGAGCTCATATAAGCTGAGGTTCCCAAGGTCAGGTGGGGTCAATCAAATCTAAGTTCAAATCCAGCTCCAACATATAAAAGCTATAAGACTTTGGGAAAATCATTTGACCCCTCTAACCTTTGAGGTCCTCTTTTGTAAAATAGTAACATTTGTCTGCTTAGGGTAACAAGGGCCAAAGGCAGTCTGTGAAACGTAAATGTGGAGAAATATGACATTATTAAGGTACTACTATTGTTGAAATGCAGCCTGCAGTGTCAATGGCAGCTGCCATGGTGACTCTATGTGAGCTTCTGCCACGATGAAGAAAAAGCTGACGGTTATATTTTTTAGGTTCACTGTTTCTAGCAGGGCTGAGGTTACACACAGTGAAAAAAAATGTTTGGCATCCCTGACTTCAGCTAGGGAGGGACAGAAACATTAACTGAGCCTCCATGTCATACCAGTCTCTGTGCTGGGCACTTCAAAAAAAAATACATTTATTTATTTTTGAGAGAGAGCATGTGAGTGGGGGAGGGGCAGAGAGAGGGGGAGACAGAGGATCTGAAGCAGGCTCTGTGCTGACAGCAGAGAGCCTGATGCGAGGCTCAAACCCACAAACCGAAGTTGGACGCTCAACCATCTGAGCCACCCAGGTGTCCCTGTGCTGGGCACTTTATGTGTACTTTCTCATTTAATCTTCTCAGCCCTATGGGCTAGGTGAGACTATCATTACCACTGTACGGACGAGAAACTGAAGTTCAAAAAATGGAGGAGACTGGTCCACAAGCATACAGTTGGTGGCAGAGCTAGAACCTGGAACCTGGGCTAACTTCCCAAGGCCTTGGTTTTTCCAACATCTACATAGCAGGTAAGACTCAATGCGGACCATGATCCTTTCTTTGGATCAGGAGAAAGCTCCTTGGGGGAAGACCAAGTTTTAGGAAAAGGAAGCCAAGGTTAGAGGACTAATCCTCTGGGTCCTAGTGGGGAATACCTCATACCAGAGGTGGGGACACCACCAAACCAAGAAGGCAAAAAGGCTTAATGGGGAAGCAAGTGTTTATAAAAGCTGGGGTCGGGGTCACGCTCAGCCTCTGCCCTTCCAGGAGTGGACTAAGGAGAGTTCCAGACAGGCCTTAGATGCAGCTCAGTCATGGAGAGAAGATGCTCAGCCCTGGGACTGCTCCCTGGTGGCATGTTCAGATCTGAGTATTGCAGCCCTATGCCAGGCAAGAAGGCGCTGTCTGCCCCCCTCAACACCTGGGGATGTACTACTGCTGTCTGGGCTCTACTACGTTCTGCGTTGACTCTGAAGGCCTTGCAAGGACTTGGCCTCCTGGGCAAGCAGCACATTTTTTTCTTCCCTGGGGAAAGCCTGGCCCTGGTTGGAGCCAGAGGCATCTGCCCTTCTCAAGCACCAGGGGGAGCTACAGCAGCAGCTACCTGCAATCTAGAGCCCTGGCCCTTTTGCCTCCAAGTCTGGCTCCCTCTTAGTCTGAGCTGGGGTTTCGTTTCTTCCATCAGCTGATCTCAACAATGACGGCTGACTCCATTTCTCTCTGTGCCTGGCCCAACAGTTTTTATAACTTTATTAATACTTTCCCAAACTGGCTGATAGACAAATTTATACTGAACAGCTCCTATACTAACCTTATCTACCATTCTACCCTTTGTTGAGCATTTGCTACTTGCCAGGTACTTTGTTAAATATTCGACACACATTATTTCATTGGATACTCCCAATAAATCCACCAAATTGGTATTATAATTCTCTGTTCACATGTGAAAACAAAGCTCAGAGAGGTTATTTACTGTGCCCCTAGTGCATTCTTATATTTTACCCCCCTGACAACCATGAGATATCACCTCCACGTTAGGGATAAGGAAGCAAAAGAAGAGCATCTTGCCTTCCACAAAAGTTACATGGTAGATAAGTGGTGGCGGGTGGGGCCAAAGTTTAAACCTAAATTTTCTGATTCCAAGCCTGTTGCTTTCTCAGCACTCCATTGTCCACTCCCTGACTGTCAGGTTCCCACAGCAACTCAGCCCAGGGCTCAACTCAGCTACGTGCGGGGTATGCTGCAGTGCCTCGATGCTGCTGAGACATGCAGGAGGCAGTGGGCCTGAGAGTGAAGATCACATCACTGCCTCATCACAGTACTCTGCTGGCTACTTCTGTTCTTGAGAGGAAAAAGGTCTTTCCTGCAAATTCCCTCTAGGATCTGCCTGGAGGGGTGGTGTGGGGATGAAAAGCAGTAGGTCAAAAAGGAGGACACAAGCAGAGCGGCAATGCCAGCATCTGTCTGTGGCGCGGAGCAGTGTAGCAAACAAAGATAACGTTCTCTCCCTTAATCAGCAACCGCTTGCCCCAAGTGCTCCCTCTGGCACTGCAGAACCTGCAGGTGTGTGGTTATCAGCCAGACCCCCAGCCTGCGGTGGTGAACTTACTGCAAGGGATACAAAGGAGCTCCCAAGTGCCTGGCATGAGCACATGTCCCAAATCTGCCCGTTCTACTGGGGACAGCACATACTCTCTTTTCCAAATTTCCTAGGACAGGCAACTATCATGGACCCCTGACAGTGGTGGGGGGCTGGCAGCCAGCCCAGTAGCCCCCACTCAGTCTCCACAGCCTGACTGCAAAGCTTTCCTCCACACCCCGCATCCCACCCCTTGATAAACAAATTGTTCTCTGTTCCATGGGCCTGCTTTCTCCTCCAGCCGTGCCTCCTCCACATCTGCCCACTCCACAGTTCTAACGCCCCTGTATTCCCTGTCTGCACATTATCAGCATTTAAAGCCAGAAAGTTGGACAAACACACCCATTCTTCTTCGAGGTTCCCATTACATAGGCATGCTAGGACAAAGAAAACATTCCTGCCAGGATCCCCCAAACCACTGGACCATTCAGTCAGCAATTGAAACTGACACTATGTAAGTTATGTCCCATTAAGGGGGCTGAGAGGCCTAGTTGTCTCCTTTTCATTCAGCTAAATGCACCTACCCCCAGGAGCAGTCATCAGCCACAACCTTAGAGGAACTGCCATCTCAGCACCCACATAAACACTCCACGATGGGAGTAAGACTCTAACTCCAGGACACATTCCAGAAAGCCGAAGTTTTGAGAAGGCTAAATAATTCAGCAGAGGGAAACGGTAAGGATTCTGGGCTTTGGAGCACAACAGATCTAGGTGGTGATGTCTACTTCATCTCTTCCTAGGTTTGTAGCTTTGAGTTTTCACCTCTCTGACCCTCATGCTCCTCCTCTGTGGAACAAGGATAATATTAGTGCAGTTGCTTCGGGTGGTGGTGAGGACTAAACAAATAATGTTTGTATAGCACTTAAGATGGAATTTGGCACAATAAACGGTCTATAATTGTTAACTATTATCATTATTAATGGCATCATCATCATTGCTCCTGTTGTAACAGCAAAATGATTGTGTTTCTTGAACCTTACAGCTAGGATCTGAGCAGGGAAGCTGGGAGGCAACTTTTCATAGATCTGGCAGAAATGGAGCTAGTGCTTGTGAGATAGAATTGCCCATTAAAGCCCATCTAGTGCAAGGCATCTTCTCTTGAGAGTGAAGGAGTCTTGATTAGGGCCAGGAGCAGTCACTGGCTGGTGCTACAATCTGCTTTAAATCAAATTCACCCAGCTCACTGTCTGATAACAGCCTGATTAAGGAAAATGGGTACCATAAATTTGATTCAATATTTGAGAAGAGAAAAGGAGGTGGTCATGTATCATCGGGGAAAAGCCCTTTCATGACAGCAGGAACTTACTTGCACTTAAGAGTTGTGAAAAAGTAAAGGCATTTTGGGGGAGTAGGAGTAATGCAGGAGCAGGCAAGGTAGAAAAGAGCTATGGCCAATTACAGACTCCACACCCTGGGTTTCTAGCAGAGGAAGGAATGCTTTACACTGATGTACCTGATTCCAGGCTTTTTCACACTTCCTTTTCCTCTGACCTCCAGGGCAGTTCCCCATGCATCTCAGGCTCAACAGACTCCAGATCAAACTCTGAGTGGCTCATCTCCTAGCCTGTTCTTCTCAGGCTCCATTATCTTGGCTAAGAGAATTGGCACTCACCTGCCTGGTAGCACCCCCACCCAACTTTCCACTCACTGAAGTCCCACTGACTTTACCTCCTTGTTATCTCTTAATTTTGTGCTGCCCTCCCTATTCCCATAGTCACTGCTGCCTTGTCCAGGCCTTGTTTTCTTTTACCTGGATTATGGAACAACCTCCTACACAGACACCACCCTCTAGCTTTGTCCATGCCAATCAATCCTGACTTTAGAGCCTCAGGGATCTTTCTAAAATGCTAACTGCCCATGTAATTACTCCACTTAAAAACATCCTAGGACTTAACAGTAGTTACATAATATAATCCACATTCTTTAGATTGGCATTTGAATACCTTCATGATCTGCCTTTTTATACCTTTTTCTCCAGTCATTTCTCCCCTCATTTCTGTCTCTCAGATACATTCTCTCTATACAATCCACAGGATTGCTTTTGATTCCGTACACAAACCAACTATCCGAGATCTCTAACTTCTAGGACTCTGTTTTATCTCCTGCCTTCCTCCTGTTCTCTATAATCTACATATAAAAACCCACTTCAAGATGCAACTCAAATGTCTTATCCTCTGGCAAGCACTACCTGATTATGCAAGTAGAGGTACTTACTTCCTAGTCCCTCATATGTCCCTCAATCTCTACCAGTATCCCCCTGGATTATAGACTGTTATCTGTTTCTATTTGTCTCCCAATCCCCTAAACCACGGGGCTCTCACCTGAGTCAGAAACCGTGTCTGCATCATCTACGATCCCAACACCGCTCCCCTGACATGCACGACAGGGTCCTAGTACATGGAATCAGAACTAACTTGTTGAAATTTAACTCCTATTTTTCCATGGAAGGATTCCATATGCTTTTAACATGGAGTAGTAAGTCCTGACAACAAATCTATTTCTTATCCTCAGAATCCACTAGAGAGCTCAGCACCAATACATCATCTAGAATTAGCACTGTTCAACAGAACTTTCTGAGATGATGGTGATGTTCTGTATCTGCACTGTCCAATACACGATCCACTAATCGCATGTGGCTAGTGAGCACGTGGAAATGTGGCTAGTGCTAATGAGGACTGAATTTTTCATTTTATTAAATTTTAATTAAATTAAATTTAAAAAGTCACCCGAGGCTAGCAGTTACTATATTGGACAGTGCAGCTCTACGTTCTCCTCGGTAAGGAGGCTTCCTAGGAAATAAACATTCCCTCACTAATTTAGCAGTTACTGGCCCCTGCCTTGCTCTTAGGGCCCAAGGGACTGGATACAGTGGGATGGGGTGCCTTATAAAGCTCAAAGCCACAGAGGGATCTGCATGGCCAATGATCCTTGCCTACCTGCAGAAGACCTGGGAAAACCCATCATTCTATAGAGACTGGATCCCATAGGCTGACTTTGTAGACAGCCCCAGGCTGCACTGGTGGATTCCAAGCAAATAAGGAGGCCAGGCTTATTGGGCCAGCTCTACAAACCCTGGCAGTATTAGCATTGCTAACCGCAATTCAAACACTTAGTTGGCCCAGAGTTAAGGAGGAGATAGGAATTTCATAGAAACAATGAATTAGAGGCTCAAGACAAGGGGTTAGGTCATGAGCAAAATCAGATAGCTCTGTTTACAGGTCAAAGTGTCAGCTGGGTTCAAAGCTCTGTCATTTACAGATCACCCTGAAACCAGTAAGCATCACTGAAAAGGAAATATTAGAAAATCAGAGGAGGGTATTGGCACCCTGATTCCTCCCTCCCTCAGCTGTGCAAAGAGCCCTTGAGAGTCTTGGAGCTTTACTCTCAGCCCAACACTCCCCCTGTCTTTATGCCATGGTAACTGGATGGCAGGGGAAGATGTACTTTGGTCCTGTGTAGAGAAGTGTGGGGGCTAGCACCCCATCTCCTTCAGCTTTCATTGATGGGGGTACCTTTTCTCCTCTCTTTCTTGGTGCTCTGGAATCCCATGACTTCGTTTTTTTAAACTGTTCAATAAAGGTGAATTAATGAAATGTCTATTGCAATGTGATTTAAGCTTTATTTTTCACATGGATAAATTAATAAGCCAGAAAAGCTGTATCAACTGATCATTTGTTCTGATTTTGGGTTGTCACCATGTGCTGTAGGTCTTCAAAGTGAGTAAAAGATTTGTGCCAGACAGGGAGATTAGGATCCTGGTCAGCTGGGATGAGACATTATGCCAGAAAACATTGAAAAGAATGGCTCAGTCTCTTAGTCCCATGCTGTTACCATCTCACTGCATCTCAGATACAGTAACAGAGCCTAAGCTTTGACACCAGGTAGGCATAGGTTCAAATCCAGGCTCTGGAGTGTTGGTCCCAACACTCAAGGGCAGGTCTCTTTGAACTTCAGTTTTCTTATCTATAAAATGGGCATAACCACACCTATAATGCTGGAGGCTGTGAGAAAGAAAGAAGACAATCATATAAAATACCAAGCCCAGGGGCAGCTGGGTGACTCAGTTGGTTAAGCGACTAACTCTTGGTATCGGCTCAGGTCATGATCTCAAGAGTTTGTGAGACTGAGCCCCACACTGAGCTCTGCACTGGCAGTGTGGAGCCTGCTTGGGATTCTCTTTCTCCCTCTCTCTTCACCTGTCCCCTGCTCACATTCTCTTTCTCTCTCTCAAGATAAATAGATAAACTTAAGGGAAAAAAAAAAAAAAAAAAAAAAAAAAAAAAAAAGCCAAGCCCGGTGCCTGGCACACAGTAGATACTGCAGTGACTTCTAGGTCTTATTCTTGAATTGTAAACTATAGCTCAGAGCCCCCTCACCTTACAGATAAAGTTTAGAGTTTAGATTTTTTTTGTTTTTCCCAGATATATTCTCTTACCTCAATGATCCAGATGTGATTAAAATAATAATAATTAATAATAATAATAATAATAGCTTAGAACTCTGTTAAGGCATGCTGCACAATATTATTTATTTTTCACAACTACCTTGTTGGGGGAAGTACTGGTATTATCCCATTTTAGAAATTCAGAACCTGGGGATCAGAGACTTGACCATGGTCATAAAGGTAGTCAGTGGTAGAGTGAGGATTCAAATCCAGCCTTGTGTGTGGCTTTAATTCCTATCCTTTGGAGTGTCAGTGGGGAGCACTCCATCCCCACCTTGCAGGAATGACAATGGTTTGGTTGCTTGGGACTTCCTCCCCAGCCAACAGCCCTTACCTGTGTAGTTCCTCATCAGAGGGTGAATACTTGGCAGTGACATCAGCCAGCTCCCCAAAGATCTGTTTGCTATAAACAGTGAGGGAAGACAGCAGGATTAATTCTTGCCATGTAGAGCTCAGGAGGCACGTGTAATCCTTGATTGAGAGCTCGCAGAAGAAAGGCAGTTTCTTGATCCAAGCAATCTGCCTAAAGAGCAGCTCATCAGCTAGGCGGCAAAGCAGGGCAAACAGCTCTGCCTGAGTCACAGCATACCTGGGGGTAGGGACAGTGGAAAATTACTTCCGGTGGCCAGAGAGGGAGGATAAGGGCACAGGTAGAGGCTACTCCTAAGAGTAGAAAGGGTCTCTGGCAGTGGGCTCCTTGCCCTTGATCATGGGTCTCCAACTTCATTCAACTGAGTCTAATGATAAGGCGGCAGGACTGGAGCCAGCAGCAAGCTCAGGGCTGGGGAGGTGGGTTTGGTGAGAAAAGGTTGTAGAAAGGAAAGGAGGCTTGGAAATTTGTGCAATTATTAGGGAGTATGACTTTTAATGTTGGTGTCCACAAATGTTCCACATGTTGAGAGAAAATTCTGTGACCCTTGCACTAGTTTTGGCAATGAGAGCTCCATTAGGTCAGGTCTGGTACCCACCCAATACAGGGGCTGACAACAAAAATGAGCCTGAGGCCAGACGGCTGAAAGAGAGAACATGTTCAGAAGGTTTTCCTGCTCTCATTGCACCCCCTGGTGGTGAGTTCAGGAACTAAAGTTGCTTAGCCTTTGTGAGTTACTGCTGTATGGAAGGAGCAGGGCATTTCTCATCTCTGGGCTGGATGAGATAGGGTCCCAGTTTTCTTTCTCTCAAGGCCCCTGGGCATGACTTTTCCCCACACCCCCACACTCAGATTTATAAAGATTTTGTGTGTCCTTCTTATAAGAAAATCTTTGAATTTCCTCCTCTGATATTGGAGACTAGCTTGAAAGATCTCCAGATACATCCTAGGGATCTAAGCTTGATAGCAAACAGCCTGTGCCCCAGGCCAAAGGAATGGGTGCAGCAATTGGTGGGCCTGAAGGCTGAACTAGTATCTACTCAGGTAGAGGTGACAGAGGATTTAAAGAGTATTCCTTCCACCAACTCAGGTCTGTACACAGAGCACATGGCACCAGGCTACCAATGGGTACGTTCGCTAGAGATGCAGATAGTCCACAACCAGTTAGTGCCTTGTTACGGAGCCTGAACTTAATGTATGATTATCCCCAGAAGTATATTTCATCTCTGACTCAGAGCCAGAGAAGCACTTCAGACCCATCCCAGGGCCTGGCTTACCTAGCTAGGCCCAAGCAGAAACAAGTCTTTTAATCCCAAATTCCATAAGGATTGACAAAACAGTCCCAACTCTATGAAAAAAGATGCTCAAGAGAAAAACAAGGGACCACTGCCTTCAAAGATATATACAGATTTGTCCTCTGATGCTTCAGTCATTACTCATTATCCCCTGACTCATTCCAAAGCCTAGGGTATTAGTAGCCAGGGATGAAGGTGGGTGTGGGGTGGAGATCATTTTGAAGTTGCAAGGACTAAATGGGGCACTCACCCATCTTCAATCAACATGGGCGTGCCCAATGGCTCCAGGTCCTCCGCTGATACCAGCTGGTGAATCAGACTGTACGACTGAGGATCCAGGCTGCGAGCTTGTGGGGGCAGAAGTGGCGAGTGGGCGGAATAGCTAAAAAGGTGCGGTATGTATTGATAGTGTGGAGGCACAGACATCCCCATGTACTGCTCTCTGAATGCCATGAATCCATTTAGTTCCACAGACCTACTGGAAAGAAAAGTTTCATGTCAAGCAGAACCATGGCAGGTGTACTGCCTGCTCAAAGGAAGTGAGCCACAATGTGGCTAAGGTGTTCTTTGGCCATGCAGTGTGTCTTCATCAGGGACATAATTAACGGTTACATGCATGTCTCCCCTACCAGATAGGGACTCTGTACAGATGTGTGTATGTGTGACTTATCACTGGACACCCAGCACCTGGCAAAATAGGTACTGAATAAAGAGTGGTTGAATAAATTCTTTGTATAGGTGCCACATTTGAAGAGATTTTAATGGATACTCACAGACTCTGGTCCACAAAGGTGTGGGGGTATGTATTTTTTTATTACTAGGAAAACTAACGCACAGCCAGCCTAAGGGCCTTGCCAGGCCACAAAACAAATCCAGCACCTAGCAAGGAACCTGACATGTGGTAACAACTCCCCTAAACATTCAAAAGAAGGAACAGAAAAGGAACAACTGAAAGAACTGAAACAAAAAGGAACAAATGAATGAATAAAAGTTACAGTAAAATTCCAAGAAAAAGGCAGATAAAAATCTGCAGGCAGATTCTTGGTATTTTCCTGGAGAAATCTAATCACTGACCATTGGAAAAATCTAACCACTAACCACTGAAGAAATCTAACCACTCTGTTACCTAAAACAACAATCCTGTAGCTTTACCTAGATGCATTTCCTGTAACAGGGGCTGGTAAACTATAGGCTAATGGTACACAGCCACATTCATTCATTCACGTAGTGTCTGGTGGCTCTTGCACCATAATGGTAGAGTTGAGTAGCTGAGACCCAGACTGTATAGCCTACAAAGCCTAAATTATTTATTATCTGGCCTTAGAGAAAAAGTTTATCAATCCCTGTCCTATAAGAAAGATTTCTGCAAAAAGGAAATCTTCCCTGGTAGTTGATGGCTACATTTACACATAACAACTAACTTAACATTCTTGAACAAAGAGTCTCCAAATTGGTATTCCATGATAACAGCAAATTTAAATCACTGGCTTAAAATTTTTCAGTTTCTTAAAATTTATAAAGTGAAAATCTTCACTCTTGCTGAGGCAAAGAAATTAGAACTTAATTCAATATTGTCAATGTGGTTTGTTTTATTTCAGTGATAAAGTAAATGAGAGAAAAGAGCTACATTTAAAATGTTATTTTGTTAGGTGAAGAACGTATGGGCACAGACAGCAGCTATAGTACTTTATTAGTCTGCAAAGAGACTGCTGACATTTTCAAGGTCTTCAGCAAAAAGTAGGCTGTGAAATGCTGTTCTGTGTCATCCTGGTCCGTCCCTGCCCCAAAGACTGAGGGAACAAGAGCACAATGGCTGAGACAGCCCAGAGGTTCCGTGTGGGTCTGTGTACTCTCTGGGTGATCCCTAGATGATGCTGGGTTTGCCTTGAAGCTCACCTGGAGGACAGTGTGGAGCCCGGTGAGGGCTGGTTGCTCTCTGAGGCCCTGTTCCCAGGGGAACTGTGGTCGCTGTCACCATGGTTGCTCCAGTGATTGGCCTCTTCCTCAAATTCCTGCCCAGACATGATCCTTTCGATCTCCTCCTCTGATATCTTTGACAAGGAATTGACACATGTTAGACTGGGTGCCCAGGATAACCTCCGTTCCTTCTTTAGGACTGAGAAATGTATTTAAAACTCACATTCCTAGAACTCTCTAGAGAAAAACCCAGATTCCCCCTCTTCTACCTCCATACCCCACAGTCTCTCACTAATCTTTTTTTTTTTTTTTTGTCTCTCACTAATCTTAGGACAGCTCGGTTGCTTGCTTCCTAGCACCACAGCTCACCATAATTTTCCTCTTGTCCGTTTACCCTCCTCTCAAGCCACAAAGTGTCTATGTTCTTCATCATCATTCCTCTTTGTCTTTGAGTTTATTCTTCCCTACCCCTGAAACACCACTCTTCAATAACAAACTCCTCCTTGCCTTTTAAGACCCAATTCAAATGTTACCTTCTTTGTGAACCCTCTATCACTACCTAGACAGAATTTTAGGTCCTTCTTCTGTCCACTTACAATTCTATGGATTCTGAGATAGGCAGAATAACACAGTGGTTAAGAGTACGAATTCTAGAGTCAGACCACCTTTGTTCCAACACAGGTTCTGCTACTTTCTAAAAATTGTACAATCTTAGGCAAGTCATTTACCTATTTTAACTTAAATTCCTTTATCTATGTGGTGGAGAGAATAATATCTGTCTCGTGGGGTTATTGTGAGGATTAAATTAGTTAATACATTATCACATGTTTAGAAAAGGGCTTAGCACATAGCAATAATTATGGAAGGCTGACAATGATATCTTCATAATCATTATTATTTTTATAGCATTTATGGTAATGTATCATAAGAATACCCTCTATTAGACCTAAGGCTATGATTAGAACCTAGAAAAAAGTGCTCAAAAAATGCACGTTGGATAAACAAATGTTCACTTAGTAAGTACTGTCCATAAAACTCCACATGGATTTTCTTAGTAAGAAAGACATTCCCAACCCTACTAAATAAATGAGAAGAAACTCTAGCTCAGACAAGTGAACTGACTTGCCCAAGATCACACTGTGTGTCCACGTCTGGGGAGGAGTTTGAGGAAGAGGCCAAAGTATCCAAGTATTCAGTCCCTGGCTCTAGCTATCATACCACACAGGGAGTGAGTAAACACATCTTCTACACAGTGTTTAACCCAGAGTTGAAGCTTAACTGGCTAAACTTCGCATGGGATGAGAGTGAGTAGTAAGGAGGAAAGGCCAGATACATTTTTATTTTTTGTTTCTATAGAAAGCCTGGGAGGACATTTTCTCTGAAATCTGAGTCAAACCTGCATAACTCTTTGTTCCAGCAGCCTGTGAGGAAACCTTGAGCTGCTCTGATCATAAATACAGGAGGCATTTAGAACCGGAAGCCAGCCAGCATACAGGACTTGGAGGGAAAACAAGAAACATTTAACTGGTACACAAGTTGAGTGACTGGCCTTAAATAACTTAGATTGTGTACTGAATTGGAGGTACGGTAGTCTTTATTCAAGCACATGTAGCAAAACAAATCTTTTCACTTAGGGATCTTTAGAACACTGAAATCACACATTGTATAAGACACGTGAAGGGGCACCTGGATGGCTTACTCAGTTAAGTGTCCGACTTCAGCTCAGGTCATGATCTCATCATGGTCTGTGGGTTCAAGCCCCACACCAGGCTCTGTGCTGACAGCTCAGAGCCTAGCGCCTGCTTTGGATTCTGTGTCTCTCTCTCTCTATCTGCCCCTCCCCTACTTGTGCTCTGTCTCTGTCTCTCTCTCTCAAAAATAAATAAACATTAAAAAAAAAAAAAAAAAGACCTGTGAAGACAAAAGGTGCCATCAAACTGTAAGACATTTAGTGACACCCTGACTGAAGCAGGCTCAGTGATGGCAGTGAGAGGAAGACCAGAGCTTAGAGGGCATGGAAGTACTTGAGCGAGGTGAAAACAACCAGTCAGTAAGACTGGTTCCAGCTGGGAGACAAAGGTGTACTGTACCTGTCTCTTCCTATGGGTCCCATAGTACACTAGGCCATCAGTGATGCATTAAGGGGATGGAACACACCAGCAGTGCTTACGTCTAGGTTCAGACCTCATCTGTCATTTTCTACTTGGGTGCTCACTGTTGGGCAAGTCACTCAAGTTTTCTGAGCCTTAGTTCCCTCACTTGTAAAATGAAGATAACACCACCTCCTTCACAGTTCAGGATTCCCTCACAGGGTGCAAAACTGAGCCAGACAGACTTGGGAGGTTGATCTAAGATAAAGTTATGAGGTGCAAGTGCACAACAGTTGCTCAATTCTATCCCTTGTAATTAAGCACTTGGAGATCACAGCTTTCTCTTCCTAACAGATCATCTAAAAAAGTAAAAGACAAAAGAGGAAATTATATGCCTAGTAGCAAAATGTCAAATGTAACGAGAGATGAAATAGGAATGTTTCTCTGAGCATCAGCTACCTCAATTCTAGAGGGAACATAGGGTCTAGAGACATAAGCGACTGAAAAGCCCTGGCATGTTGGGAAAAGAGTACTCAAAAGTCATTGGGTAATGCTGAGGAAGGTTCTTCATTGAGGAAATGCTTAAGAATTCTTCCCGGGGCGCCTGGGTGGCTCAGTCGGTTAAGTGTCCAACTCTTGATTCCTGCTCAGGTCATGATCTCACGGTTTAGAAGATCAAGCCCCATGTCTGGCTCTGTGCTGACAGCACGGAGCCTGTTTCGGATTCTCTCTCTCTCTTTCTGCCCCACCTCTGCTTGTGCTCTCACTCTCTCTCAAAATAAATAAACATTAAAAAAAAAAAAGAATTATTCCCAGTGGATAAACTTTCTGCTGCATCTAAATACAAAAAGAATGACTACAAATAAAGGCCACACATGAAAAGCCCACAGCTAATATAATTACTCAATAATGAAAAACTAAGAGCTTTTTTCCTAAGATCAGGATTACAGCAAAAATGCCCACTTTTGCCATTTCTCGTTACACGGTATTAGAAGTCCTAGCCGTTGCAATTAGGCATGTAAAAGAAATTTTTAAAAAATCTAAACCAGAAAGAAGTAAAGTACCTCTGTTTATAGATGACATGATCTTGCAAATACAAAACTCTAAAGATTCCACACAGAAAACTTAGAATTAATAAAAGAATTCAGCAGGAGCACCTGGATGGCTCAGTCAGTTAAGTATCTGACTTTGGCTCAGGTCATGATCTCACGGCTTATAAGTTCGAGCCCAGCACTGGGCTTTGTACTGACAGTGCAGAGCCTGCCTGGGATTCTCTCTGTCTCTCTTTCTCTCTCTCTCTCTCTGCCCCTTCCCCACTTGTTCTGTCTCTCTCTCAAAATAAACAAACTTAAAAAAAAAAAAAAGAATTCAGCAACGTTTCAGGATAAAAAAAAAAATCAATATACAAAAATCAGTTGCATTTTTATATACTAACAATAAATCTGAAAAGGAAATTAAGAAAACAATCTCAGTTACAATAGTATCAAAAAGAACAAGATATTTAGGAATAAACATAATTAAAGGGATGAAAGACTTGTATAACGCTGAAAGAAATTAAAGATATAAATAAATGGAAAGACGGCCTGTGTTCACAGATTAAAAAACAATATTGTTAAAATGTCCATAGGATCCAAGGTGATCTACAGATTCAGTATAATCCTTATCAAAATTCCAATGGCATTTTTTGCAGAAATAGAAAAAAAAAGTCCCAAATTCATATGGTAACACAAAGAACCACAAATTGCCGAAACAACCTGACAAAAACCAACAAAGCTAGAGGCCTTTACACTTCCTGTTTTTTTTTTTTTTTTAATTTTTTTTTTTCAACGTTTATTTATTTTTGGGACAGAGAGAGACAGAGCATGAACGGGGAGGGGCAGAGAGAGAGGGAGACACAGAATCGGAAACAGGCTCCAGGCTCTGAGCCATCAGCCCAGAGCCCGATGCGGGGCTCGAACTCACGGACCGCGAGATCGTGACCTGGCTGAAGTCGGACGCTTAACCGACTGCGCCACCCAGGCGCCCCTACACTTCCTGTTTTCAAAACATATTACAAAGCTACAGCAACCAAAACAGTATGGCATGGTACTGGCATAAGGACAGGACTATAGACCAATGGAACAGAACAGAGAGCCCCCAAATAAGCCCACATATGTAGAGTCAAAAGATCTTTGACAAAGCTGCCAAGGCTACACAACAATAGTCTCTTCAACAAGTGGTATAAGGAAACTAGATATTCATATGCAAAAGGATGAAAGTAGATTCTGATCTTTTATACTACATACAAAAATCAACTTAAAATGGATTAGAGACTTAAATGTAAGACCTGAAACTGTAAAACTCTTAAAAGAAAACAGAGAAAAGGCTTCTTGTCATGTTGAGCTCTGCACTGAGCATGGAGCCTGCTTAGGATATTCTCTTTCTTTCTCTTTCTCTTTCTCCCTCTCTCTCTCTCTCTCCCTCTCCCTCTGTCCCTCCCCTGCTTATGTTCACATGCACTCTCTCTCTCTCTCTCTCTCCAAAAAAAAATGGGGGGGGGGGCAGCAAAAGATTTGAATAGACAAAAACAGACCCAAAAAATCTCCAAAGACATATAAACAGCATAGCCAACAAATACATGAAAAGATGCTCAATGTCACCAATCAGACAAATGCAAATTAAAACCTCACACCTGTCCAGAATGACAGTAACAGAAAAAAACAGAAAATAAAAAGTACTAGAGAAGATGCAGAAAATTCGAACCTTTGTGCACTGCTGGGTGGGAATGGAAAATGGTTGTGGCCACTATGGAAGACAGTATGAAGGTTTTTCAAAAAATTAAAAATAAAACCACCATATGAGCCAGTAATCCCACTTCTGGGTATTTATCCAAAAGAACTGAAATCAGGATCTCAAAGAGAGATTTGCACTTCCATGTTCACTGCATTATTCACAAAGGCCAAGAGCTGGAAACAACTTAAATATCCACTGACAGATGAACGAATTAACAAAATATGGTATATATCTACAATGGAATATTATTCAGCCTTAGAAATCCTGTCATATGCTACAATACGCTAAGTGAAATAAGGAAGTCACAGAAAAACAAATACTACATGATTCCATGAGGTATCAAAAGTAGCCACACTCCTAGAAAGGCAAAAGTAGAATGGTGGTTGCCAGGGAATGGGGAGAGGGGGAAATAAGGAGTTGCTGCTCAGTGAGTATAAAGTTTCAGTCATAAGATGAAAAAGCTCTATATATAGATGAAAATGTGCATATAGTAAACAATACTGTACTGTATACTTAATTTGTTAATTTCATGTTGTTTTTTTAACACACACACACAGAATACCTATGTATAGGCCAAAATAAATCAAATTGACTTTCAAGAAACAGATATGATTTGAATAACATGAATATAAATATTGGATTAATAAAAAGACAGAATGAATACAGCATACACCCACACCCCAATTGAGTGCATACACGAACTCATAATGAGTTCATGTGATAGGAAATGTTCCATATATCATCAGCGTATGTCTCAAAATGACTGAATTCCTGTCTTTCTCTCATAGTCCCTCATATTCAATTAGATAAATCCTACCAATTTTACCTATTAAATATCTCTTGAATCTATTCTCTCCCCTTCAATCTATACTATCATTGCCCTACCTAAAACCACTATCTATATCTCTTGGCTAGACTTCTGTAAAACCCTCTGAATTGCTTTTTCTCTGCCCCCAGTTTCACTGGCACTTACTCAGCTCCTCACAAACCATTTCTACTATTAGAACGTCTTTCTAAAATGCAAATCTGATTCTCTTTCTCTCTCTCTCTCCTTAAAAGCTTTTGGTGGTTGCCTCTTGGTCCACACCAATAATCCTTGAGGCATGGTCCTGCCCACTGGTGTCCTGAGGGATTTACATATTGGGTCATACACAGATCCAATTTTCTTCCTTCATAAAGTTGTTCTTCTGCTGGCAAGTAAGAAAAAGTGGTGTAGGCTTGTCCTACAAAGGCTTTACCTAAGGAACTATAATCAAAGAGAGTTCAAGGCTACTCTCTAGAGAACAGATTCCAAACTCAAGGAATTTGCCTTATCTTCTGCCCCTCCATTACATGTGCCCAGTGCTCCAGCCTGACTGAATAAACTCCCTGTGATTCCTTAAAGATTCATCTTGTGGTCTTTTTACATTCTGTTCTGTCTAGCAGTATTACAAGATATTTGGCTCCCCATTCCTTCCCAACATAACTAATTCCTCCTTTTCCTTCAAAACTCAGTTGAAACTTTCCCTTCTCTAGGAAGCCTTCCCTAAATGTCTTTAGTCCCCAACAATGGCTCCAATCCAAACAGAAAAGAAGTCCCTCTTTTCTGTACTCCCTAGGTATCCCCTGTTACTACTCACTGTACTCTGAATGTCTGTTTACACATCTGTCTCTTCCACTAGACTGAGTTCACAGTACAGAGGACCTGTACAAACTAAGTACTTAATAATATTTGTGAGATTAAATGGGTATTATCATTCCTACTCTACAAACAAGGCAAAGTAATCTTACTGATTTCTGCCAGACTGTTTTAATGACATAAAAAAATTCTCTGGATGGTTTAAAACCAGAATTGAGTTGACTTCCTGTGAAATCCTTGGGAAGGGTTGAGGGAATCACAAAAAGAGCTTTAAATAATTATCTTACATATTTAAGATTTTCAAAGTACTTTCATACCAGGCTCTAAAAGCAGTTTTACAGGAATGAAAACAAGATGGCTCCCCCAGCAGGAGATGAGAGGATCAAGGATAAGTAGCTATGGGAACATGTGGAGCCCTGGGTTTCCAGGATGGATAACAAAGAGTGAGGCCTAGAACTCACCTGGACCGGCCCAATGCTCTTATTCCGGCCTCCGGGCATGCCATCTTCTCTGATTGCTGGAAGGAAACATAAGCCAAGACAGTCAAAGCATACCCACGCAAGTCTAGGCACTTTAAAAAGAGAACTTATGTGGCCCAAAGCACAAAGTAATAATTGGTGAAATCAAGATTAAAAAACAGGTCTTTCTAGACCGAAAGTATATATACTCTTTTCATTATTCTAGGCTACCTCATAGGCAACAGATCCTTTTGGACCCCCAAGGCAATGGACACACAATGTACACAATGCATACGTTTAATATTTCAACAAAGATGACAGCCTTATTAATAGTCCCCCAGTTACAAATATCCCACCAGGATGATGCATCTGAAGGCTTCAGTAAATTTAAAGAGAGGGATAGAAAAAATATTTCTATTTAAAAAAATTATTTATTTATTTTGAAAGAGAGAGAGAGAGAAGCAGAGAAAGGGGGAGAGAGAATCTCAAGTAGGCTCTGCTCTGTCAGTGCAGAGCCCAATGCAGGGCTCGACGATCCCACAAACCATGAGATCCTGATCTGAGCTGAAATCAAAGAGTGAGATGCTTAAACCAACTAAGCCACTCAGGCACCCTGAGAACATTTCCATTTTTAGATATTTTGTTTTATTTTCAGGCTAAGCTGCAGTCTAATGTGTAGGATGAGAAAAGGTTCTTTGTTTTTTGTTTTTTTTTAATTAATCAAAATTTTGATCTGATTGGTTTCTCCCTATAAAAGCAGCCAGTAGAGTTCCCATTGCAATTGTTTCTTATTCAGGTGATTCCACAAAAGGAAGAAGTTATTTAGCAATAAAAAGCACCCTTTAAATAGTACCAGTGTTATTAGGCATAATAGCTACTAATACTATTGCCATTACTGTTTATGGAGCACTTAATATGGGGGCACAGAAGAGAAACTTCTGATCTACAATTATAGAAACACTATGGTATCTGGCAAAACTTTCTGGCAAAGATGACTTCTGAACTGAGTCTTAAAGGATGAATAGGATTTACGCAAGCAGTAAAAGGGTGAATGAACAGTACACAGAAAAGCTTCAAGTTGAAAGTAAGCATGGAGTATTCTTTCTGGTAATTTCCAAGTGGTTCATCCTGGCTAAAGCTTGTGTGTGCGTGTGCATGTGAGTATAGTAAGAGATGAAGTTGGAGGTTGGAGAGGCCAAGTGGGGCCCAATCACTGATAGCCTTTAACGGCAGGGTAGGAATATGGACTTTAGCAGAGGAAGCCAAGGATGAGATGGAATGCAGAGGATGGATGTGGTCAGGTCGGCCATTTTCAAAAAATCTTTACGATGGCCACTGTGAAGGTTGGCTTGGAGAAGGCCATGTTAACAACAGAAGATAAGCTAACAGCATTATGTGTGAGTAAGCTTTGTTCTGTGTGTGTGTGTGTGTGTGTGTGTGTGTGTGTCTGTGTGTGTGTATAAAATAATACACCTGCTTTCAAAAAAAATAATATTAAGAATCTAGAAAGTCCTTGGGGCAGGATTGAGGGTTCCAAGCCTAACACTCAGTTCATTTTCCTTAAAGCAGATATCATTCTCGGTATCCTTAAAAAATTACACAGTTCAGAATTAGACAAACTTGGGTCTAAATCCTGTTTTTGCCTGGTCTATGTAATTACACACAAGTTTCTTCACCTCTCTGAACCTCAGTCTACTAAAGAATACAGGGGCTACTGGAACCTATCATACTGGGTATTGTGGGGATTACATATAAAATAACTAAAATATCAAGCATAAGGCCTGGCACATAAAGTAGGTACTTAGTAACTAATCCTTCCCTCTATCCAGCCTCTTTTCTACAAACACAGTAGTTAAAACACCAAGGTTCCATTCTCAGCTTTGCTGGAGCCTTAACATCTTCATCAGGAAAACGGAGGCAACGTAGTCTGCTTTACAAGGCTGCTGTGAATTTGGAGTGGGAAACATACGCAGCCTGTATTAGAGCCACATGCATACTAGTTTTTGTCTGGGAGCAATCTTTCAACCTAATTTCAAGTTCTAAAATTCCTTAAAATTCCTTTTCTGCTGTTCAGTGACAGTGTTCACACACTTCTATTTCCAATACTGAGTTCTCCATGTCTTTGCTTCAGCTCACATAATAAAGATCATTGGCAGATCCAGTACCAAACACATTTTAGTTGTCTTGTAGGTGAGGAAGGAACTCAATATGTTTTTCTTTTCGTTTAGAGGGCCACAAATCTTAAAGATTTACATCTCACCAATATTTTGTTCTGATACTTAAAAGCTTATGTTGTCCCTCAACCCCACCTGGACTAAGGAAACTCACATATGATGGACATCTACTGTGTTTTAGGTACTATCCTGGGTAAAACAACCCATGAGGAAAGTACTAGTATTGCTCCCACTGAACAGATGAATCTAAGGTTCAGAAAAATGAAGTATTTTGCTTATGGCAACAGAAACTAGACAGCAGAAGAATTAAGGTTGGCACCCAAACTATTAGACTAAGCCCAAATTTCTTTCCACAACTAGTTTTTCCCATTGTACCTGCATACCATTGGGAGAAACAAAATTTTAGGTGGTGCATAGATAAACTCTCAATTATACATGTATCCTAATAGGCACTAAACAAATACTGATTTTCCATTCACTGAGATGATAAAAATTCCCTTGGAAAATTAACTTTGATTTAAAAAAATTTTTTGATTTGGGGCACTGGGGTGGCTCAGTCAGTTAAGTGTCCAACTCTTGATTTCAGCTCAGGTCATGATCTCATGATTTGTGAGATCGAGCCCCGCATCAGGCTCTGCACTGACATCACAGAGACTGCTTGGGATCCTATCTCTCCCTCTTTCTCTCTGCCCCTCCCCTGTTCATGCTGACTCGCTCTCTTGCTCTCTCAAAATAATATATAAAAAATACAAATAAAATTTGATTTAAAGAAGAATATAAACATTAATACTGGTTTGATCAAAGATGGTAAAATTCGTCAAGATGGCATGAAACTACCTGAAGTGTGTGAAATAATAGGATGCGTCACAGTGCCTCTTTTAAAACAAGAACTTGGATCATATTTTAAAGCTTCTAATGTACCCACATATATGGTATCACATTTGATCCTCACAACAACCTTGGAAGGTGCCCATTATTACTATCTTAGTAGTTTGAAAAAAAAATTTTTTTAATATTTATTTTTGAGACAGAGAGAGAGTGGGAGAGGGGCAGAGAGAGAGGAAGACACAGAATCCGAAGCAGGCTCCAGGCTCTGAGCTGTCAGCACAGAGCCTGATGCGGGGCTCGAACCCACGAACCGTGAGATCATGACCTGAGCCGAAGTTGGACACTTAACCAACTGAGCCACCCAGGCGCCCCAATCCTACGTAGTTTAGAGATGAAAACACCTGAAGCTCACAGAGGAAAAGGGACTTGTTCAAGGCTACTCAGGGAAGAACTGACAGAGCTGAGATTTCAGTTTAGGTCTTCTGATTCTAAAGCTGTGCTTGCTCCTTGATGTTACACTGAGCTAAGAGCAAGTTTCTCAACAGGGCTGAGAATCTTTCTTGTGGTGAACTGATACTGATTTAAAAAAATAAAAACAAAGGGCTTCCAGATATAAGATAACAGGAATGGATTTTGCTCCACTTCTTGTTCCAAGCCCAAGAATGGCAGCAGCTATGGTTCTCCTACTTCTGCTCAAAAGAAGCACAAAGCCTTTTTCTGTTCTGGAACTCACATACTTACCATTCTTCACTTAGGCCTGGGCAGCCAACCCAAACCCAGAAGCAGAAAGGCGAGTAAGACACAAAGTTAACTACATCAAAACCCACTGGTGGCTCCCTTTGGTCTATGAGCTAAATCCCAGCTTGCCAGCTTGGCATTTAAGACACTCCTATGATCTGGTTCCTCTGGGGTTCCCCATCTTCATCTCTTGTCACAAAATTTACACCGTAACTACAGAGAACTATTTGTTAGTCCTTGAACATACCATGCTGCTTTACACAGCTTTCCCTCTTTACATATTGTTGCCTCTACTCAGAAAATAACTTTCTGGTGGGAAAATCTAGCAGCATCACCTTACCCAAGTGACACCACCTCAACCAAGTGATTCAAGTTAACATGACCAATAATGGGACAAAGTACACCATGCCCCCTTGATATGATGCACGAAAAGGACACATCATCGCTTTTGTGGCATTCTTGCCAAAAATGCATGACCTGAACATAATCGTGAGGAAACTGATAAACCCAAGTTGAGGAATATTCTACTTGTTTTCTTCAAAATTGGCAATGTTATTCAAGACAAAATAAGACTGAGGAACCCTTTCAGATTAAAGGAGACTGAAGAAGGTGCGTGGGTGGCTCAGTCAGTTAAGCATCAGACTTCGGTTCAGGTCATGATCTTGCAGTCCGTGAGTTCAAGCCCTGTATTGGGCTCGGTGTCGACAGCTCAGAGCCTGGAGCCTGCTTCGGATTCTGTGTTTCTCTCTCTCTCTGCCCCTCCCCCCACCACTCTCTCAAAAATAAATAAACATTAAAAAAATAAATAAGTAAAGGAGACTGAAGAGACATAAAAGCTAAATGTAATACACGATCCTGGATTGGCTCCTATATTACAAAAAACACCTTGCTATAAAGGACACTGAAATAAATGGTGAAATTTGAATAAGATTTGCTAATCAGATAATAGTATTATGCCATATTAAAATTTTTTATTATTCTTTTAAAATTATTATTTTTAGAGAGAGAGCGTGAGTGAGTTCAGAGGCAGAGAAAGAATCTTAAGTAGGCTCCATGCTCAGCAAGGAGCCCTACATGGGGTTTAATCCCACGACCCTGGGATCATGACCTGAGCCAAAATTAAGAGTTGGATGCT